TTGATTGTTTATTTACTATAAATAGATATTAAGGTACTATTTTTAAAAAGAAATGGACTTTGGTATATTGATGCTATTATTATCACAAACATTATCATTGGTAGGTAACTTTCTTGATCCACAGTAGGCCTAGGTCTATTTTCATGCTTTATGTTCTAAATTTATACACTACCTACAGTACTAGTAAGCCTTCCAGTATACAGATTTAAGCTATAATATGAGTTATGATTAAGGCTATTTACAAACTTCATATAGAACTATGGACACAAAAATTATCATTAAATAGAAGTAACCTTTATATTGTTGAAAATATAAATGAGGACCAACATAGACATGCTGAAGACAAAAACTTAATGTTAAAGAGAGAGTTTAGAAAAAAAAAGCCATCGATAATTCTGCATACAAGTAGGCCTAAATTTAGTTGGCAATAAGCCAACCAAAATTATCTGTTCATAGATAAAACTATTATAAACATTCAGATCACATCAACATAGGTTTTACACAATTAATTTGGTTGTTTGTTTATGCAACTTGACCTTTGACACTGACATGCACTGTAGAAACTATGGAATGACATATAGATACAACAAAGTATCAAGTAAAAACATCAAAATTCACATTATTATTTTGTTTTGTACTCTATAGTAAAATCAAAATATTTATTTAAAATGCTACTGTAATAGTATTTATTTACAGTAAAAAACATACAAATTTTGCTACTTTACAATAAGTTATCTAATATGTAGCACATATTTTTTTGTATTAAAAGGGTAGTTATACAATAGTTTAATGAGAATCTATTAATATAAATATTTCAAATAGATTATACAGATCAGATTGTTTTTCTTAGTCTTTTTGGTAAAAAATTTTTTAGCAGTGAAGTTTCTATCAAAATTTTCAGCTTCTCGAACACTAATTTTTTAGGAATCAGTGGAGAATTTGGAAAGAAATATCTCCTGTTCTATGTGTAATGACAAATCCCGGAAAATATACGGTACCACAGAAGATAATGGGATGGATTAGGCATAGAATGCTTTGAGCTTTAACTGGCACTAGTAAAAGTAAAAAGTTTTTTTTTCAAATTTACAACCTGCTGATTTTAGAATCGAGTAGAATTTCACATCCACCCAAGCACAGCGGGTCAGCAAACCTTTCAAGTTCCTAAGATTCTGATAATATAATGCGAGCATTATAACAGGCCAATCTAATTCCGCAATTCGTTTTCGGCTCCTCTGTGGGGCACCCCTCTAAATTTAGACGGATGGATAGCTCTGCCCCTCGAAAATGGAAACTAGGCCTCCCGAACAGGTTAAAATAACGCGATACATATAATTTAAGCAGCATTTGAGAAAGCCTGATATGAACTTGGTGAAGTCAGTGGCCATTATCACTCCCAAGGATAGTATAGATTACAAGGCCAGCTAGGTAGCCAGCTGTTACTCAAGATATACTTGTACTACTCCAGTAGAGCTGCTGTCCTGGAATCACGGACGCACTGTATAAGCGTAGTTCAGAGGCCTAAAAAAATACTAACTACCCATTTCTATGTGATCATCACAATAGCCATGGGTGTGTTATCCATGATGTAAAATTTCAGAGAAAATGATTTTACATCTCAAATGTCAATGACAAGTTTGTGGCCCAGATTACAAACTACAGTAGTTTGTACAGTAAAGAAATTTCTCAAATTGTTCATGCTTCAATTTTCTACTACAGAGTACCACAGTCGTGTCGTCACAACGGCCGGCGGCGCTCTCTGTTGTCAACAAACGTTGGTTACCATTCATTATGAATAAATGACTTCATAGGCTTTCTGGAATAGGCATTTTAAAATCTAATATTTTACCATCAAAATGTACTAAAAACACAAAAGCTTGCATTATATTAGTTATCGAACACACATTTAATCATCAATTAAACTTTACAAAGAAAAAGAAAGATCTTAACATCTTAATAATTACGTTAGAAATTGGGATCAGTGGTTTGTCAGTGGAGAAAATGGCGCCCAGTTGAAAGCTTTTTGTAACAATAGCAACGGAGTAGTATCACACGGTATCGTGATGTAACACTGTAGTATTCTATATAACTGTAACCTAACACCTAGCATTACAAGGTTTCCTTGCTAATTTCCCTATATTATTTTTTCCGCAGTTTTCCAATATCATCAAATTGAAGTATACTCCAGAAAAAAATAAATGAGTGTCATAAATAAATTTGTCTGTATTTTTAAACCAAATCTGATAATATTAATATGTCTGTGTTTTAATCCATATGTTTCAGTTCCAATTTTAGCCTATTTTAATTTACTCAAGAGCTATGCTGTTCAATATTTATTTATGGGTTTGATGATTGTTAAAAAAGTGTCAGTCATAATGGCTATTCAACAAAGCCTGATTAAATCTACCATTACATGGAAATTATTTTAAAGAAATTAATCTTTTTTTCAGAAAATTTACCTTTTTATATTAAGATGGGCAATATTTAAGGATAAAAAATCAATACTAATGCTGACAGGCTGCAATCTAAAACCAACTACCAACAAAATAAAGTACTTTCCAAATCAATAACTAGTTTAACTGTTAATTGATTAATGACACTGTAATGTTGATTGGCATTATCATGGAGGAATAAACTTCTTGATGTTCCAATATTATTCTAATAGAAGTACTATGATGAGTAGCCTGTTTTTTTCTGCGATGACTTACTGAAGATGACACTAACCAACTATAACAGCTCTGATGTATTGGACTCGTCGACAACACCGTAGAATGGCTAGATCTATTTGCGTCCATGCACTCGTACAAAGCATCGGTTTCTACTCCAGTTGGCAACATTATTCAATGACTTGTCTAATTGACTGACATATTCCTTTGTTTATTTGTTTTTGCAGTCAGTCACCTGCTTCATGTTCAAATGAATAATGATTCGCTTCTACACAACACTGGTGTCAACAAACTATTCCATATCCACCTTGTGTTTACAACATCAATACCACCTTCCCCCCACTAAGCATTCTTCCCCTCCCATTATCTACAAAAGGACTAGCAACCATAGACAACGGACTAACGTCACTAAGGTTAGGCTTTTTTTATACCTTGTTTCGCAAACTTTTTTTTTTTAAAGATCGTCAGAGAAGGGTATAAAAAAGTTAGAATAAAATTTTGTTTTCATATTTAGCGCAGTTTTGCAAAAAATATCAAAACGAAGGAGAAAATATTGGTGAATAGTGTAGTAATCGGGTGGTTAAATGCTTTCCATTAAATATAATTATGAAGAAATATACACATCTTATTTTTTTAAGATTTCAAGGCAGTGGTGGGTGTAATAAAAATAAAGAAAACCTTTATTTTTTTTTCTGAAATTTTAATTGCTAATTCTCAAAAAATAAAATATTATTCTTATTCAAAATCATCATTATTGGCGGGCGGTGGTTTCGCAAAACAATTTTAAATTTCTTGACAACAATTAATCCACTAGTTGTATCAATTTTCATATTTTTATAATAATTTATTTTTATTAATCTGTATAATTAATATATTTATTATTGCTTTTGTTAAATTCATTGTTTTGGAGGGTTTTTTTTATGTTCAAGCGAAATTTCCTTTTTGTATTCTATTATTATGTAATTTGGTGAGCTGAATAGAATAAAAATTTATATCAAATATAGTCGCCAGCACTTTCATTGCCAAACCTGTACTTAGTGCATAGTATTAGGGAGCTTTTCATTGCATGACATAGTAGAATCTAGAACATAATACTGTAACCAATATTTCATCTGTGCATGCGAGAACGGCAAGTTCTCCACGTCGTGTAGATTTTAGGATGCAGTTTGACAAAATTCCTGTTGTGCAGAGGACAGTTACGCATGAGTGTAGTCGCGCAAATCGAGAGCTCCCTTGTATATGGGTATTTCACATTTACTGCATTAATCAGCGTTATTATTACCAATTCACTATCCTACATTGTGTTCCTGGGTGGAATTAAGAAATGCTCTGGCCACACTCAAATTTTCTGACAACATCTGTGATTTGTCCATGGACATGACGATGTCATATCACACCTCATATGGGCAAATCAAATCATTTGTCACATAGAACTTGACAATGTAGATGGAGTCTAAGGTAGACAGTGTGCCTTTTGCAAGGACAAATATAACTGTTCAACCACAGATTTGAAACAAGATCTTTCACTTGGAAGCCTAAAGCAGTACCACCACCACATGCTTCCACAAGGAATTAGTCATTATATTACACAAGTATCCACATATTCTATCTTGGTTAAAATCATATATTATTAGAAGTGGTTTCTCAACACTGAGGTGGGAGGGGGGAGGGGGAGGGGTTTCAATCCCTCGCTGTGCATTTCACTTGTGTCCTTAAGCAAAGCACTTTATCTGCATTGCTTCTCTCCATCTAGGAGTATAAATGGTTCAACTTGTACAGTTGACTGTTCCTGCACTGATTAACAGCAGCAACACATAAAAAAACCTATGATTTATAACCTCAAGGAAGAGGCCAATTAAAAATGCCTATACCAGTACCAGCTTATAAAAGTCAATTATACAATAAATATATCAATCATCCTAATTTTCTGAAAACCTTAGAGCTTGGTTATCCACATCAGAAATAAAAATTTTTTTTTTAAATAACAATTATGGTTAAATCAGCAGTAGGAAAATCGTAATTCCAATAACTAAAGATGTTTAACAACGTAATAACTCAGACATTCATGAATTAGTACATGTCTGTATTCATAGAAACCTGATTTCAACCAATCAAATTGCTAACAAACATGATTACATACTTAGCCAATCAAAGACTTAGTACTTAGCTGTATCCATAGCAGCCTTATATCTTAATCTAGTAACTAAACACTTATTTCTCTGTTAATTGGCAAAAATAATTAGGAAAATATTACTGGTTAGACAAAAAATTGATTCTATTAATTATAAAGTTGTATAATTTAACTGCTTTTTTAGTTAATAATATAATTGTACTTACCTCTATTATATCATTATTGGTCCTACTTTCATGTGGTTCGTTGTACTCTGTATATTTGAGTAATACTTTATCCATATCTGTGCTAGCATACTGGAATAACTTATTACTACTGTTGAATATAATAAGCGCTATTTCACAATCGCATAACACACTTAACTCATACGCTTTCTTCATTAAACCAAACTTTCTTTTGGTAAATGTGACCTGAAAGTAAATGAAATGAAGTTAATAACCAACACTTATAACATTAAATTATTTCAACAATTCCATATAGTACCTGTAAGAAAATGTCAAATACTGGAGTTCTCAAGAGCAATTAGTGGAGAGAACAATGACGATGCACTCTGCAACCACTGAAACAGATTGTAAGGCATTCCTCCTAGCAACTCCACTTGGTTGTCTTAAGGCTGACTCTCACATCACTTGGGCCAACATTCCACATCAAATCTTTCCACTGGCTGTGTGAGCGATTGCCTCACACAATGCAAATCTGATAGTTGATGAAAGTCAAGGAAATTTTGTTGAAAATATCCTGTTCCACACAGCTTGTAGTGCCTTCCATAGAATCGCATCATCATTGACAACATTGGTTTTACTGACTTCTGGACAGATAGTGGATGGGCACTCAGTAACTGGAAATATAATAGCTGAAGTACAGATGAACTCGAATAAGGGGCAATGCCAGTATGTGGTCCAGCTGTGGGTAACCTGACCGAGCAGTCATGGAAAAATCTGTTGCAGTTAAGATTAATAAGAATAATTTTCTAGGCCTAACACAATTGGCCTGAGAGTGCCATTTTTGGGAATCTAGAAGTGACATGATGGGTGCGGCCCATCTGTCGGTGATCGATAGACCGTCAGGGAAATGCTGAAGTTACTGCTGGCTCAAATTCAAAAAACTAATCCTGCTTAGTTTAAAGTCAGGCTCCAGAGGAAAACAATTTTTTTAATATGTTGTAGAAATGATTTTTCTAAGACAGAAACAAGTTGTTTGACGAAAAACTGGGGAACGGTGAATGAGATACAGATTTTTTAATATTTAAAAACTGGGGGGAAAAAGGGGCGTAACTGCCCATTTTTACATCATATTCCCCCAGTTTTTAAATATTTAAAAATCTGTATCTCATTCACCGTTCCCCAGTTTTTCAAACAACTTTTTTCTGTCTTAGAAAAATCAGCTCGCAAGGGCCATGCTAATACTAGTTTATTACTGGTCTCAGGAGACTAATAAGTAGTGGAGGGGAAAACATTACCTATTTATTGACGGAGAAAATGCCGATTATGTTTACCATATGCATAGCACATTCTATACGTCAATTCCATGTGATTTGAATACTATTGTGTATGTACACCTGTCTCTTATACACATCTAGATGTGTATAAGAGACGAAAGTAAAATTTTAATCAGTTGATATTTTTGCAACACTTTTGTTTTTTATTCTTATCTTTAACATAAAAAAAATAATAATAGCAGGGATGTCAACACGCTGGTCGGCAGTGGACGGCCCGTCCAGCACTCGACATTTCTGACCAGGATTTACAGGCTCCCGACCACCACTATTATTTCAACAGTTTACAAATTGTAACAAAATAATTAGTTTACCTAAACACAATAGACAAGCTAAAGAAGAATACAATAAATGTTTCCATGGTTACGATAATTGTAACAAAATACTGCACTGCCCTGCTATTCATCGAATAGCCTAGGCCCAGGTGAGTCATAGCGAACGTCGTGGGCTGGAATGACACGGTTGCTGTACACATTCAAAGGTTAAAGTTGAAATCGTGACCATTCAAGTGTTTTATTATGAGAGCATGATACAGGGCAGGAAGATTATTAAAAACTTACGGAACCTGATTTATGTTTTATTTCTTTACTTTGTTTTCATTTTGCATTTTAAGTTTTTCACTTTTAGTTTTAATTGATATATAATGTGTAAATGGACAAAAAAGAAATAAATGAGTGCACATGAATCAGTGACATACACATTCATCGTGGTAGACGTGGTAACCGTCAAACATGTGAAATTACGGCAAACAATGCGGCTGGGTACAGTTGGATCGACACTTTGTTGCCGGGATTTGTTCATTAATATTTTTTAATCTAAAACAAAGCATGTCAATTATTGAATTTAATTAGGCCTACAGTAAGTCTCATCTTCATCTGTTTTGTTGCATTACTCAAATTCTAGCCTAGGCCTACCTGGGCCTAGCCTAAAAAACCAGGCCTAGGCCTGCTTGACTTAGGCCTTTTGGTTTTTAAGAGCTTCCACGAATACGGCGACCCCCCACCCCCACCGGAAAAATGGAAAAATGAGGGGGGGGGGGGGGGGGAAATGCGGGACGATTGCCGACCGGCACTCCAAAAAGCTGGTGACATCCCTGAATAGGTTGACTTACATAGCATAAATAAGTAAAAATGATCAAAAAAAAAAAACATTAAAAATGGCAGGGGTATCCAGGAATTTTTCTGGGTGCGTCATGATCATAATTTTTTGGACCTTTTCAGTGGGAGACAGGAAAATCGATTACAGCGCCACCAGCTTGAAGCGGATGGCAGGCTCAGTTTCAGAATTGCTGGAATTGAGATAGATTACGTCACGCAATTGGCAAGGTCTTTGGACTCATTGCTGGTACTTCATCAATGCTTTTTCATTTATGTCATTGTGAAAAGGCCCTAGAAAAAAATGTCTTTGGAAAAAATGTGGACCTTTGAAATTTTTTTTTCTTTTTTGGGGAGGGGGGAAATCATACGACCTTCCCGACCCTCCTTGCATACACCCATGTGAGGCAAGGTAAAAAAACAAAGGAAAAATTTAGAGGGAGGTAAGACGGTCTGTGGCAATGTTTACTACTGTAATTATGTATAACACCCCCACACCCCTCCTCTCTTTGGGTAAGTTTGAATTACACTGATACATGTAGTCTTCAGTTTTATCAATTCACATTTTACTGTGATTGATGATATTTTATAATTCTAATTCCGGTCAGGACCTTTTGTTCCGGCAAATATCGCTGGCAAATCCGTTTCAAGAGAAAATTAACATTGATACACACTGTTTATGTTTGAATTTCTGTGTTTATTTTTGGGTGTTTTTGCCAAATGATGTGAGAAGAGACTAGAAACGTTTTGATTTTCATTTGACCTTATCCTATTTAACTCTTTCCTCTTCAACCACCTGCATGCTCATCAGTTCAAAATCAGCTCTACAATCATCCGCTCAAATTCAATGACAATCAGCAAACTCCCAATTGGTTTGCCCTCTATAAAATAGAACAGCTTCTTGGCTTACTTTCTGTCTACACCACCTAACAATTTAAATGTACGTAAGCCGTACGTTTCCAACCATTTTGTAGCTCGCAAGGGCCATGCTAATACTAGTTTATTACTGGTCTCAGGAGACTAATAAGTAGTGGAGGGGAAAACATTACCTATTTATTGACGGAGAAAATGCCGATTATGTTTACCATATGCATAGCACATTCTATACGTCAATTCCATGTGATTTGAATACTATTGTGTATGTACACTCAATCCGACAATACAAAATTCCTCCTTTGTAAGAGTGGAATAGAAATCAACAGTTTGTTTATTACTCTGCCTACCAGATAGATTCATTACCAAGTACGGCACAACCGTGCCATTTCCTCTTAATGTTACTTGTGTGGGAACTACATGATTATCTACTTTGCCAATAAAGGTCAGCCGTTTCCAAAAATATTAGGAGAATATGAAGAGAAAGAACAAGCAGGATGCAACTCTCAATGATTTATCATTATTATTATTTATTAAAGCAAATTTACATTTTAATCATGTACAGTACGTCTAATTATATTATCATTATGTACGGAACATCAGTGCGATACAATAGTATTTTCAACGATGGAAAAAAGAGAGCAAGATTCTCTGTTTCAAATTCTACCTGTGGTTAAAAAGATCATAAAGTTGAAAAAGTTATAAGAATAAAATAAAGAAAAGGTATCAACTGTAGTGTACAGGTATGGTATACGATCAATGTAAAGAACATGAAAACTCTCCTTTAGAAACCTGAAATTGTGAAAACATTTACCGTACTTGATGAAATTCCTGTTAATCTAAGGTATCTGAAAATTATATTTAATTCAGGAACAAGACAATACCGATGACAATGATGATGTCACTGATGCCAGCAACAAAAGGCGATGATGGTGGCCAAAGAAAAAGACAAGACAATGGTGACAATGATGATAACGTAACACATGAAAATCAGTTACCAATTTCTCTGCATATGTCAATAGATAAAAATTACCAACTCATGCTAATTTTTGGCTACCGCTTTATCATATTGTTAATTACATTTCTGCTGACTACACTTGGCTTGTGAACTGTGATCAAAATCAGACAGAATACAGTACAATAGTTACCACATTGACTACCATGGGAAAAGGTATGACTGAACGCTTACACAAGTATCTATTAGGTAGGATATTTTTGCATACAATCTCTAGGAAACAATGAAATGCAGAAATAAGTTATTAGATGGACTATTTAAAATTAAAATTACGTCTTTTTTATACCATATTTAAAATCATCAATTTTCAGACCAAGTTTACCAAGGAGTTTATAATAGAATTATATGAAGCCCAAGCTAATTTATTTACAGTCAAATATAAAAGTTTTCAATTTCCTAACCCCTGGGTTACGGCATTGGTAATAAAATAATCAGCTTCAAAATATAGAGATATTAAGATATTGATGGTTTATCCAACAATAAATGCTACAAACTTTATGACTTCTTTCTGTCTTTAATAATTTATTCAACTGATGACGAAAGGCTGCTTATTCAAAACACTCCACATCATTATCACCAAACCTCCACCAACTTACCAGTTACTGAAACTAAATTAATGCTCAATACACTTTTAAACCAATAAAACTATATAATTATTGGAATAGGTGCAAACGTGAAGGGAAAGAAGGTACACACCCCAGATTTTGAGATGGCGTTGTAATGATTAACTAAAATCATTCTCATGATAAAGCCTGTCTACTGTAGTCTCATCAAAAATCTTCTACCACTTACTTGTTATTATTAATTTTATAAGTTTGTAGATAATATCATCACCAAGCCCTTCCATTACATAGCTTTTTGTAGGTCTTTTTTTAGAACATATGAAACTACTATACAATAACTCATCATTAATGACCACCTTTAAGATTAGTG